AAACAACAAAAAGGTTTTCCAGTTCCATTAAACGTAATCAGTCAGATGCAGCAAACTGTTTTTAAATTATGAAAACACTTATTTTAATTAATTTTGGGTTCTTCATGTATATTAGGTTATTCCTTAAAGGTAAAAGCATTGAAAAAGCCTTTCCATAGACACACAAAGTACCTGCAAGAATTTAGTGACGTTTATTCCAAATCATTATTGCAAGAAAAGATGCAGTTGATGACATTTTAGGAGGTTATTATTAGTGTCCAACCGAATGTTCGGTTTCGGTTTCGGTTTCGGTCGAGTTTCGGTTTCGGCGGCTACTACGACCGAAACCGAAACTGCGTTCGGGAGTTCTCGCGCTCTGCTCGGTCATGTTCGGCGAGTTAAATTCCATCCAAGCGAAGTATACTACACTTACTCAAATAAACATCTCACCTATTTTAAGTATTTTTAAGGCGCACTTAAAGTATTTCCTTAAATGAGGGGTTGTTATGTTGATTTCGATTTGATTATCAATAAGTGAAAATGTCAAAGACTGCAGAGCTATGTGATTTAAAGATAAAAAAATAAAACTGACTGATTATTATAACGTTTTTCAAAACATGATCCTTATAAGGAAGTTTCGGTTTCGGCCGAAACTGAGACCGTTGCCGAAATTCGGTTTCTGTCGTAAAAACCAGTTTCGGTCGGACACTAGTTATTATACATACGTTTCATTAAATTAACGTTTGTATTTTGGTCGTTTGAAGGTATGCATAATTTTGCACGATACAATAAAAAATCACAGGCGTATAGTGTTCAGTCTTTATTTACTGTATACAGCAAAAATGTATATACGAAAGGCATGTAGTGGAATAGAGAAAAATAACAAGAGTTGATAGTTTAAGAATGAAGGTGAGATAACTGATAGTGCGTTCTCTCCTGGTTCTGGCTTTTTTAAGTGTTTATAGACGGTTGTAGGAAAATGAGTAGAGGAACCTTCACGGAAGATTCTAGTTTGGTGTTATTTGATGGAATATCAGGAAAATGGATACAGAAGATGACAGTGACTAAGGTAATAGGCGTAAAAATGTGTAAGTGGACAGTATACAGGAAAGGGTCACTTTCTATAATTAGATGAAAGCGTGAAGTTTCGAATAACACCAACTGAGAGAGGGTACACAATAGGATGTGTTCGAACAGGATTTGTTAAAAATTTAAAAAGAATAGATGAGTTTGAAAGCAAAACTATAAGTTAAAAAACACACAAAGAAAGTGCAAAACTTAAAAGTACGGAAAGAGCACTATCGAGAAGAGTAGATAAAAGAAACAGTTTAAACGAAAGTTATTGGAAATGAAAATAGAGATCTTCAATAAGTGTGAAATAGGATAGAAAAAAGTAAAAGTGAAGATTCCAGAAATACACATGATAGAATTACATACGAAAGATAAAAGTATACACAAAAAGACAAACAGATTCGGAAAACAGAAATGCATACGTGCAACAAATTAGATATGAAATATAAAAATACAAAATTTACAGAACACAATATATTCAAGACTGACAGGGGCGAGTATGGCAATAAACGCTATTAGTTTGCATTTATCAACGGTGCCTACTTGGTAAGAGTGAATTTTTATGACTGTGAGGATGACACCATTTTAAAATGAAATAGAAAAAAAAAAATAGCTCAATATTTTATCATAATAGAAACAGGAAATAGTTCTAGTGATAAACGATCCCTAAATTATTATATATAGTTATATATTGCAATGTTCGTGGGTTTAACAAAATTAACTTCTAAGACTGATAACAACAAAAACTATTTATTTACACTAATTATTAAAGAACTTAAAAACACTATTAAATTATTACTAAACTTAGGTTATGAATTATTCTATTTATTTACACTACTGTTGATATATCACTATTCACTGCGCTATTTATTTCACTGCTATCACTGTCAATTTATTTCTGGATTCACTTCTGAACGGTCAATTTATTTCTACTTCCCATCCACGATCGTCTCTTCCTTTAAATACTATTTTGTTTCCTTTCGAGAACCTTCTCGAAACGTCCGGAAAACTTTCTTTTTCTTTGAACTGTTTAACTGCTTCCCCAGAACGCAGGTACGACACGCACATTTATAAATACGGCGCACATGAACAAAGGCGTCAGCGAATCGATAAGCCGCTCACACACACGTGTGCCGATCGCACACAAACACGCTTATGCTCGCTACAATATATATAGTTATGTTAAAACGCTTGTCAGTTCAATAAAGAAATATGTGTGTTAAAAACTTTAGCCAAAAACAACGAATTTAATTAATTTAATTTAATTTGAATACTAATTTGATTACTAGATTCCAACACTATTTGCACAGTTCTGATGTACATAGACATAAAAGAAATTTTCCTAATCATTATTACGCATTCTTTAATTCACCACAAAACTACTGTACTATTATATTAACGTTTGTTTTTAGAGAGCTAAGAGAGCAGAAGAGAGTACTTACCGCGGTATCTCACCGATCTTCGGCGGTCGTTGCTTCTTGCAAACACAGGAACCATCCTGCCACGGATTTGCTAAAACAAAAATAGAACCGTAAGAGTAATTAACGTACTAGATTCAATGTACGTGTATCTATGTACTTATATCAATTAATTATCTGCAGATATTACTTGTTCTAATTTTGTAATATAAAGACAATCGGTCACTTTTATTTAATAAAACTGGGATAAATGCGTCACTTTTTCAGGACGAATTGCAGATAGACGCAAACCAGAGAGGTGAACATCAGAACCGTGAAGGACTGTTGCGAAAATGTTTTTTGATTGAAATATACATCTTTAAATCTATACACAGTGTTTATGAAATATGTAACAAGCTTGCAGAAGGTAATAGAGCACTAAAACAAGAAAATTAAGTAAATGTTTGGTTTAACTTTTTGTATAGGGTTGTATGAAGCAGCGCGTGGATCAAACATCAGATTTGCACGACCGTGCATGATCGCTGCAAATGAAAAACGCCAAACGCTGGACTTTTTTGTGCAACTCAGTATGGTGGTATACGTAGGTATGTGTGTGATTACTGGTGTTGTAATTAATTGTTTCTAATAAGAGGGCTATTGTCAAGCTGCCCTTAAAAAAGATAACGCACTTTGGCAATACCGCAATGGTGTTTTTGAAATTTAATAAAATTACTATTAGCTACCCAGAGGATATTAATTTAGCTATTAAAGTTTACATAACGTTACTTTTTTTCCTTCTTTTTTGTTCTGTATACCATGTCGGGGTATAAATATTTTAAATAGTAATGCATACTATCAACGATGCACAAATTAGTTATTTAATTAATTGTTATCGCAATGGACGTTTAAATATTATTATGTACAGTAACGTAGTTTTTTTAGTAAAATAGTTAATAAAAAAGTTTTATAGCCTTAATTTGATCAGTAGAGTTATTACATCATTTGTCAAGTAGAAAGGTTACGCTAATTTAAAAATAAAATGGCGTAATTAATTAAAATTTCATAGTTTTGAATCGATAATTCAAAATTCAGGCGCCCTTCGACTACTTCCGAACTATTGAGCTATAACCTGGTATGCAAGTGAATGTGTCATGTGAGGATATCCAGCATTGACAACTTATTTCTATTTCTTATTTATACAAATGTAATAGATCCTATCCAATTAGAGATTAACCGAAAAATACCTTAATTCTACTAAAATACTATTAAATTTTTTTGGGACTTCTTTAGTTATCGTATTTCAATAAAAGTAGGTACGCAATGCTATTTTCTAGTATTTTCTATTCCTCAATGCAGCGTCTTAGATAGTTTTCATAGAGAGCTTTTAAAATCTTTTATTAAAAAAAATTAGCTTCCAAACTGCTAAATTTAAAAAATAATTCTGAACGTATGTTTTATCCTTAAGGCCAATTACATTTGAAAAGCCTGCAATAGGGACGATA